TCGGATATATATAGCGAAATATATAGATAGGAAGGGGATGTTAGCTAGAATGCTTATATTCACAAGAATGGCTGGAACGATTTTGACAAATTTTGTCAATTCAGAATGCCCTCTTGGCATAAAAGAATAAAATCTAAAAAAATCGCATAAAAGGACGCCAGATCATTAATATATATTTTGTAGTATTTTGTGACATGTTTTAATTTTTCATATTTTTTATCTCATGCGATTTTTTCAATTTGACTTATAATATTGAAGTGTTTGTTTTGTAATATTTTTTCACCATAAAACACAGGTTGGGGATATTATATACATATTGCAATTATCGTCCGATCCTCATGAAAATTTTCACAAGGGTAGGGTTAGGCTCAGAAGAGCTAGGCCTATTGTTTTCAAAGATGTCCGCCATATTTGGGTGTTTAAATGGACAAAAAACAGAAAAAAATTCCTGGTCACTCATTCGACAAGCTTAAGAAGAGAGTTAAGGACAGGGAAGAATTATAGCATTTTGGATAAACACTGGATTATATTTAGCTATAAAATGGACAACAACAACTAAAAACACGATGGAGCTCGAAATGCTAAGTGTAATATCTGGTCATTGCTCCGTGACATTATTTCGAAAGCGAAATCTTCTAAAATGGATTTGGGTATCACATAGTCGGCTCCGCACGATTATAGCCTTTGCTTACTTGTTTTATCTCAATTTGTTAATAGGCATGTAAGGTGGCTCACACGACATTTCTCCTTTATTTTTACTGATTATAACCAACAGCGAACCTTCCTATATTTTATAAATTTCAATCAAGAAATAAGATGTACTTACATTTATCATCTTCTGTACGTATCTATATTTTTCCGAGTGAGGTTGCCCACCTTCAGAAAAAAAATGAAATTAATTTTCCAAACAAAACATACACATTTTTGTGACTTCGAATTGAAATGATTTTTCAACTAATTTTTAGTTTTAAAGCTTAACATCTATATTATAGGCCTCTGTTTATACATAATAACTATTGTTTTTAATTTAACTAAAATAATATTATTTTTCCTATGAGTATTTGTTATATGTTTATTATTACTTTGCCTTCCCTAGACTATATAATTACATGCAGTTGGTTAGTTGTTTTTTTTTGTTGTTTTTGTCAATAATCTTTAGTTAAACTACACTTTGCTGTGCTGTCTAAATGTAACATCTTTTTAATCCCGTTGTAAACCATTTACATTAGAAGTATACAAACATATATTTATTGTTACGACTACTATTATTGTTGTAGTTATTTTATAATAATAACAATATTTTATTCTATCATTCATTGCATGAGTATCAATTGTTGTTTTCAACTATTTATAATATGTATATTTATATATTTTACCTCTTTTTGTTTATTTATATGTATATATGTTTATGACTTATATTATCCTATTTTTCTTGTTGTTGTTGGTTGTAATGGACACGTATTGTATGTAACATTTGAATTTTGATATAAATTTCCATTTCATTGTGTTATTGTTATTGTTGTCTATATTATTTAATATTTATATATGTTAATTGTGTATTCTAAATCAACAACTAATTTGTAAATAATTTGCACATTTTATTTTATTTTATTTACATACATTTGATGTATAAATATGCTTTCACATTGACATTGTTAGATTATTAACAAACAATCGACGAAAAAATAAGAATTTGTTTAATTGATTGAAGTTGCATTGAATCACATCTTCTCTTTTTTTCGGGGGGTAACTTGGAAATTATTGCAGAAAATGCGAGGGGTATTGCTTTTATTGGGAAATATTGCAGGAAATGAATACTCTTTTATTGAAAGCTTAAATTGACTTATATGTGATCTATAATTGCCTTATCTGTGAAGTAGTTGTCGAACATATTCCATTTTACCCATAAATTTATGATTTTGACATTTTTGAGAAGGAATAAGCCCGCATTGCCCATTTTCACGCTCAATAATCCCTTGATATTCTCCTTGCTTTTACGGTGTGTATACCCTACAACACTATGTGTTGGGGGTATTATAAGTTTGATTGGGCCAACAATTATGTAACACCTCGAAATATTGGTTTCCCTCATAGGAAAGTATATATGGATCTTCCTATCTCGCCGAGCTGAGTCGATCTAGCTTTGTATGTCCGTCCGTCCGTCTGTCCATGTTAATTTGTAATGAAGCTACAGGTAGCAATTATGAATCGATCCTCACGAAATTCAAAATGGAGGTCGGGTTAGGGCCTGAATAGAACCCTATTTTTTGGAGATGATCGAACGACCAAAAATTTGCATGGAGTTAATGTTTAAGACTGGGCAGAAACCTATCAATTTTGGCCATCGGAAAATATTTAGCAGATAAGAAAGACCCTAACTTTTATGAAAGAAACTAGGAAAGACTAATCGACACGGAATTTCGAATCAGAAGAGAGTTAAAGACAGGGAAGAAGTTAAGCTGTAAAATGGACCACAACTTTCGTGTGAAATCGTTTTGAATACTTAACAACACTACGGAGTGCGTAAATATTGGCCAAATTCTCCAGGTCAAAAACCTAAGGGTAACATCTGGGCAAGGCTCTTTGACATTATTTCAAAAACGAAATCTTCCAAAATGGATTTAGATATAAGGGGACTTCGAACATATTGTAGTGTTGTAGGGTATCACATGGTCGGCCCCGCACGGCTATAGCCTTTCCTTACATTTTTTTTGATAGTAGGTTGCACCCTTACAAACTCGAAATATTAAATTTAAAACAATTCAGTAGAACAATGTGGCTTAAGTAGCCAAAATACCGAATGCCTGCAGGTACAGTTATACGAGCTCCAAATACCATGTACTTTAATTGAAATTTTTTTCTTAAGTCATTTAAATTCCATATTCCGCATATGGAGTCTACATGACTTGCTGATTTACTTTAAATTTTGGTTGGAAATATGACTTAATCCAAATTTATAATGCCCAACCGTTGATTGTTGTACTCCATTTTTAATATCAACAATTCTGATAATTGTATCAACCTATTTGGTTTCGTTCGTAACCTCGTGTGTTTTGTCCAGTTCAAGAATACATATTCTTTCGGGGTCCAAAACTCCCATTTCGAGCCATGGTGGTGGTTTGGGCCGCCACAACAGACGATGGTCGCTCTGCGCTCGTATTAATCGACCGTGGCATCACAACAAATGCCGAATATTATGGAGGGTGTATTAAATCCTTGGGCACGCAAACATTTTGTCCGCAGACCTTGGACATTCCAACAGGACTCATCACCATCGCACTCAGCACGCGCCACCCAAAAATGGTTACAAAATGAGGTTCCTCTCTTCATTTCCAGCACACAATGGCGTATTTTGGAAAGCAAGGTTGGCACTAAAAAATACGAAAGTGTCGATCATCTCAAGCAAGGGTTTCGCCGGGAATGGGCCAAAATACCACAGAGCAACATTCGGGTAGGGTGTGACGGTTTCATTGGCCGTTTGAAGGCCATAATTCGTGCCAATGGTGACCAATTCGAACAAATCTAAACTTATTCTAAAATTTGATGCTATTTCCGACATTTTTTGCTTTCATTCAATAAAAATAAAAAACTAGTAAAAAAGTTATTAGTTCGGCCGGACCGAACTTTTAATATCCTCCACCATTTGGTACAAATTTGGCAATTTTCAAAAAAATTAAATCCGTTAAAAATTCTGTAAAAATCTTAAAACTACTGAATGTAGCCGTATATTAGGGTCTATACGAGGACGAGGACATGCATTGGCAAATTTTGTCATTAGCTTTTACAATATTCAAAAGCGAAACTCGAAAAAAAATCTGTTTCTAATGTAGGTAAAATCGTCCGAATTCTGAATAGAGGGAGGTACCATAGGAGTTATAAAACGTAGACCTGTACAGACAATTTTCTGTCATAGGCTGTAGTATACATTACGAACTTCAAATACTAAATTTGAAAAAAAATCCGGTAAATAAAAATTAATACCGAATATCGGGAGGTTCCACTTTATGGGGGCTATACGAAGACATGGACCTACATGGCCCATTTCTTGTGTTAGGTTGTAGTGTCTATTACGAGCTTCAAATACCAAATTTGAAAGAATTCCAGTGAATAATGTCGCTAAAATCAACGAAATACCGAATATCTGGAGGTACCATTATATGGGAGCTATACGAAGACGTGGAGCTGCACAGACAATTTTCTGTCTTGGGCAGTAGTATTCAATGCGAACTTCAAATACCAAATTTGAAATAATTCCGGTGAATAATGTCGCTAAAATCATCAAAATACCGAATATCGGTATTTCGTATATCGGTACCGTTATATGGGAGCTATACCAAAACGTGGGCCTTCATTGCCTATTTTCAATACCGAAAGTCCTGCAGACATAACATACATTTGAGTGAAATTTTATCAATCTGCTTCATTTCGTTCGGAAGCTAGAGTGATTTCCACAGACAGACGGACGGACGGACATCGCTAAATCGACATGGAGTTTTATGCTGACCAAGACTATATATACTTTTTGGGGTCTTAAATGTGTATTTCGGGGTGTTACAAACGGAATGACAAACTTAATATACCCTCCATACTATGGTGGAGGGTATAACAAAGTAAAAATGATGGCGTTTGTCTTTGTTGCAGTACCTTTGTAAAATGTGTACAAAATATTTGGGAGTTAAGCTCCAAGAGATAATCCCAAGTCATTCCTTTAGGAATATTACAGGTCGGGTTAGAATGGTAATTAAGAGGAAAAAGTATTTGCTCTAAAAGTCATTACAGTACGGGCTATACTTGATGTGAGTTTTAAAAATCATTTTTGCTTTCGAATTAAATCTAGGATCGATTCAAATTTACATTAATCAACATTTTGATTCCCAGAGCTTATTCATATACATAATACGAAAAAAATCACCATTCCAAATTCGTTTCCAAATACTTAATTTTATGCAAAAACTAATTTAAAAAATTTAACTTGAGGTATCGACATATAGAAAAAGAGCCCAATATTTCAAATTAAAAATCCTCACTAATATTTCTCAATGAAATCAAACCCCAACATTTTACAAAGTTAAATTTACAAATCATTTAAAATTCACAATCGTTGTCATTATGCGACGTTTAACCATTTACATAACAAGAAAATAAAAAAAATATTTTTCAAAACACTTCTCTAAGTTCTTAACTTTATATAATTTTTCTTACAAAAACTACATACATATTAATTACACTATTTTATATTGTTTTTTGTTGTTTTTTTACCTTAACGTTTATTAATTACCTAAAACCCCTGCATCAGGCGCATTGTCAGTTCTTATGATTCATATGTGTGTGTGATTTGTTTATGGTTTTGTTGTTGTTGTTCTTCATTCATTAACTTTTCATTTGAGTTATTGTCCTTTGCCGGTGTCTTCCTTCAATCATCTACAAACGGTGCTGTCATCGCCAGCACACGACGAATGTGAACTGGCCAAGAAGAGCTTACCACTGGAACAGGCACAAAGTTGAAAGACACGATGCGTATGATCTTTCTGTGGTGGTCCCTGTATGGATGGGACTGTGCGTAGATTTGGCATGAATATTTTCGATGACTCAAAGCGTAACTGTAAAAGAGAGAAAGGTAAGAAACAAAAAAATGGTATATTAAGGTGGGTAAAGAAAGCATTCAAGGTAATTAACTTGAGGTATTTAAAAAGGGACATAAAATCATTTGCCAATTCAAATCAAAAAATCAGATTATTTTTCAGGCAATTATGGCCTACGTATGACGAAAGAAAATCATCAATTGTTTATAGGTTTTCCGAATTCTGGATTATTTAAAATTTGAGGAAACTCCAAGTTTCGAAAAAAATGATCATTCAAGGAATTTGTATTTTTTCGCATTCATTTAGTTCCGACATACATAAATTTTAAAAAAGGAGCGATGTTTTATATGGAATACTTCATGTTTTACACATACAGGGTGAGATGAAAAAACGGCAACCAATATCAGACTGCTGTCATTTCCAAGCCACTTGTCCGACAGCTGTTAAAATTATTCCAGTGGCAGCTTAATATATTGTTTACAAGCGTACAAAAGCATTTTGGTGAAAATTTTCCAGAAAAAAAGTTATTGGTAATGGAATTCAAGCGTGATAGTATGATTTCGTTATATTTGGCTGGAAAAAACAAGTCGGAATCGTTTATCGCACTCCAGCATTTAAATGTGAATAAATCTTATGTGTCTCGTACCATCGCTCGTTGCCATGATACTGGTAGCGTAGGCCGACGACAAGTAAGTGGACGAAAGAAAACAGCAACATCAGCAGAAATGGTTCGAAAAGTAAAGAAGCGACTTGATCAAACCCGGGTCACAGTGCCCGAAAAATGGCTCGTGAGCTGAACATATCGCAATATCCCATTCGGCAAATATTGAAAAATTAGGTAGGGGTAAAGCCATTGAAATACCAAAAAGCGCAAGAACTTACACCGAAATAGAAAGAAAATAGACTCAAAAGAGCTAAAGAGTTGCTTCGCTTAAACGAAAGTGGTGAACTGCCGAATTTGGATTTCTCCGATGCGAAAACATTCGTTGTCTAGCAGTTTGTAAACAAACAAAATTTTGGTGTTTACTTGCCAAAGAGTTCAGCTGGTGTTTACTTGCCAAAGAGTTCACCTTCTGTTGGCCACCAGAACTCTAGCGCCGGCCATGGTGGTGGTGATAACACCCGATGTTAGCTCTCCGCTCGTATTAATCGACCGTGGAATCAGAATAAGTGCCGAATATTATCGCAAAAATATTCTTGAATGTGTATTAAAGCTTTGGGTACGCAAACATTTTGGCCGCAGAGCTAGGACATTCCAAAAGGGCTCATCACCGTCGCACTCAGCACGCGCCACCCAAGAATGTTTACAAAATGAGGTTCCTCGTTTCATTTGCAACGCACAATGCCCACCAAAATCTCCGGATACCAATCCGTTGGACTATTGTGTCTGAAGTATTTTGGAAAGCAAGGGTGGCACTAAAAAATACCCAATTGTCGATCACCTCAAGCAGGCGCTATGCCGGGAATGGGCCAAAATTCCGCAGAGAAACATTCGGGCAGCGTGTTACGGTTTCATTGGCCGTTTGAAGGCCATAATTCGTGCCAAAGTTGACCAGTTCGAACAAATCTGAACTTATTCTAAAATTTGATGATATTTCCGAAATTATTTGCTTTCATTCAATAAATTAAAAAAAATGTAAAAATTATGGTGTTTAATGACAGTTTTTTATCTCACCCTGTATAATTAAAAATAATCTTCATATTACAAATAACAATTCGTACTTACACTGCCTTCTATTGTGGTTAACTTTATATCCTCCAAGGCAGATATCTCAATGCCTCCGGCCCGTGATTGTAAATTTATTTCCTGAGCTGCCTTCATTTCTAACTGTCGAGTAGGCGATTCCAATCTATAAGAAAATATGTAATTGAATGTAATAATGGGTCGTAAAATGCAATTATTCTAAATTTAAATGAGTGCAAAAATAATTTTAGGTTTCAGGCCCATGCTTTTTTAAAATGTCCTAGAAATATTCACAAAAATATTCCTAGAAATATTCACAAAAACCACAATTCTGATATTAATTGAAACTAGCTCCAGTTCTAGTAATTTCTTGTAGAATGCGGCATGTTCTTTTATAGTATAATTTATCGCAATGCGAAATTGATTTTCTTTAGAAGATAATACTATGCTATGGCCTGCTCAGAAGAAATTATTTTTAATTCCTTTTTCGTTTATGTTAGAAAAACTCTTTTTATTTATGACAGAATGTTCCCTTATATTCTGTAATATAAAAACTTATTGTTTTAATAAAAAAAATCCGCAATGACTTGCTTCTGGAACCGACTGCCTTCTCGTATTGATAACCCGAAACTAAAGGATTATCCAAAAGATTATCTTTTTTGTGACGACCATCTGGGCTTTGTGGTAAAATAAATCCGAGCCTTATATGTAGAAGTCCTTATCTGCTATAGTACATTCTATGACATTCTATTGTTTATATGTTCATGCCTCAATGAAGGAGACCTGTGGTGTTCTTTTAATAGTGGAACATTGGGATTTTTATGAGAGAAAACATGGAGTTTTTTGTAACAGGAATCCTTTCAATTTTCTACGGCAGAATATCTTCGGGTGTGCTATGTCGGAGGACCTCGTGGTTTTCTTTGACAGAAGACCTTTGGATCGTCTACGCTACAATATATTCTAGTCTTTTAGGGTAGAAGGCCTTCGGGTCCTCTATGATAGCTTCTTGCCTTCTAGTCTAGAAGACCCATTTTGTATGGTAGAAGACACATTTTCCTTGGTAGGAGACCCTCAGATCTCCTAAGGTAGAAGACCTATGGCAGACGAATTATAGGCCTCTATTGTAGAAGATTTGTGGTCTGTCTTCTTTGAAGAAGAAGACCTTCGGAGTTTTCTGTGATAGAAGTATTTCAAGTTTTCTATATCAAAATTCTTTTTTTCTCTTGTATGAATATCTGGTTTTCCATGTTAATTTGTAATCAAGCTACAGGTCGCAATTATGGCCCGATCCTTACGAAATTTTCCTAGAAATTTTCCTGATTTTGCAGTTGCTCTATAGGCCACAATTATGAACCAACCGAAGCGGAAATTTACATGGAATAAGAGTTTAGGACTGGGCTGAAACTCACCAAATTGTCCATCGGACAGTATTTAGCTGGTACAATAGACCGTTACTTTTATGTGAGAAAATAGAAAAATGTCCACTAAACCGCGAATATTGTTAACTCTAGCCAAATCACAAATACATTAAAAGGTCATTCCTGAGCATTCAAGTGATGCTGATAGCCAAGAAATCGGATATATAGCAAAATAGGAATAATATATATGTAAAAGAAATATATCTTATTTATTCAAGAACCCCTGGGCCGATTTGCACAATTCTCATCGGAATGATCTAAATTGCATGGTATAGCGTTAGGATCAGAATTAAAGCCTGTTGTCCTTAAGATGTACATTTAGGGGTTCAAATGAACTAAAAAAATTTATTTTTTCTAATTTTGTATTCAATCTATAGGCCACAATTGAAAACTAATCAACAGGGTATTTCGCATCAGGATAGAGTTAAGGACAGGGAAGAAGTCTAGCATTTTGGATGACTATTGGATCATATTTAACAATAAAATGGACCACAACTTTTGTGTGAAATTGTTTTGAATATAACACGATTCAGTGCGTAAATATTGCCCAAATTCTCCGGGTTATAAACAGGCAGGGCTCGTTGACATTATTTCAAAAACGAAATCTTCCTAAATAAATTTAGATATAAGGAGACTTTAAAAAATTGTAGTGTTGTAGGGTATCACATGGTCGGCCCCCACGGCTGTAATTTTTGCTTACTTGTTTACTTTATAATATGTGAACGACACTCTGCGCTTCTTTGATGAAAGACTTTGTATTTTATTTCTAGATCAAGGCTGTATTGTCTTAATTTTCAGTGATAGAAGTCATAGTTAGTCTAGTGAATCGAAAATGAGAATTCTTCCATTTTATGAAGGGAGTGTATTATGTTCTCTTGCATTTGTTTTAACGGGCAAAATGAGGAAAGGTAGTCACACAGTTCCCTTGGGATATCAATATAGAAACACAGTCGGAGTCGATCTCTTTATGTCTACCCGTAAGCCAAGAAAAGGTTAAATTTATTGTTCAATTAAAATGAAATTTCGCACAGTTCACATATTCGGTCCAAAGACGAATACTTTCAAAATTGGTATGTCAAATTTAGTGAAATTGGGATCACATATGACTATAGCTCGAATATATACGTATCGTCAGTCCCAAAATCTGTAAAATGCATGATATTCGATACAAGATATCATATACACTTTAGAAAAACCCCTGCCAAATTTTGTCCAGATCTGCTTAGATGAGATTATAACTCCCATACTTTTTCGTCAGATTTTGAGATTATAATGCACTAAATGTGCAGTGTCAGCCTAAATTAGTTGAATTTTTGGCAAATCCAGACAAGCTTATCAAATTTGATGAAAATCGGTTAGGATATAGCTATTTGGCCTTTTTAGCCTCTCAAAGCCTCAATATGCCTTTTATAACTATGATATCCGATACAAGATATCAGATGCAGCCTAGAAATACCTTTGCTCTAATTTGTCTACATTGGCTCAGATTTAGATATAGCTCTTACTTATTTTTGTCTGATTTAATATAAATGATACCCCAGCCGTGTGACGTTCGTAAAATTAGGTTGAATTTTAGATCATACGAAAAAGATCGAATGCCATAAGTTCAGATATAGCTAAAACACAAAAATATCTTTTATTGGACATAATATTTAGGCCTTCTCTATGATAGGTTAGAAAATATATTATCGCCCCATATTGCTTGACAATTGCATATAAATGTTTATCCCACCTTATGAATAGTGATGTCACTACCATTTTAGTGCCAAATTAGTGACACATCCAACTGGTCACCCAAAGCACATCTCTGTAAAAAGTTCATTCATTTAAATCGGAAAATGAGAAAGAGGGGTTGAAAATGGCTTTCATTCATTCAGAGGAACGTGTAAACAAATACAATCCATATTTGTCACTTAAATCCTTTGAGCACTTTTTAATAAACTCTATATTTCATGTGGATGCATTTACACCCATACATACACAAGCTCACTCACCCACACACACACACACACACACAAATTCGGTTACATGCACTTTTGCAATGTGTCCGAATCTATCCCATTGAAAAGGCATTAAACCCAGGGAGCGAGAGCGATGGTATGTGATGGTAAATGTTATTCTCTGCTCTGTATGTCCGGGTGGCTGGAAGGATGACTGGCTCTGACTATTGTAAACAACAAAACAAACATTGCACGACTTATACAGTGCAACACACACACGCAGACACTAACAACCTGTCGGAAGAGATATTCATTCATTCATTGATGGCATAAAATAGGTACAGAGACCGAAATTTGAATTGTATGGCAGGTTAAATAAGTTTGGAGGAAAAATGTCGGAGAAAAGTCCATTACAGATGGCAGACATACTGTTGTCCAGATTTGTTTGTTCGGTTGTTTGTTGTCGTTCACCGCTGTTGATCCACATTCCATAAACACATCTCTCACAACATGAATTAATAAGTGTTTATTTAATGCATATTGCTTGTTGTCGTTGTTGTAGTTGTAGTTGTTTTATTTTTTGTAGGCCATCAAACCAGACAAACAGGGTACGGAAATGATGTTTTGTTGTATTTGAAAGAAAGAGTTGAAGAATTGGCTGGACATCTAAGAAAATGTAATCCTGTCTGCGTTGTTCAAATAAATATTTAAAATATTAAAGCTTTTTCAAAGGACTTGAGTGAGTTCCAAAGAGGCAATAGGAAATTCTACAAATGAAAGCTGTCTGGGTTCTACAAGATAACTTCAGATTTATTATTATTTCCTACAGAAATATGTCACATTAATCCATTATTAAAGTAACTGTATGTACCTATGTTATCCTTTAATATCCTTCTTAAAAGTAATGAGTTTAAAATAACTTTAGACGATTTCAATTGAAAGACTCAGTTGAAATTTAAAATAATTTTCTTAATATCACCAAAAAAAAAACAGCTAAGTTCGACCGGGCCGAACTTTTAATACCCTCCACCATTTGGAACGAATTAGTAAATTTTCAAAAAATAAAATCCTTTAAAATTTCTTTTAAAATCTTTAAAATACCTGATATCGGAAGGTACCGATATATGGGAAGATGTACGATATTGTGGAACTATATCGACAATTCTCTTTCAGGGGGTAAAGTACTCACAAGGGACCCCTTGTGTGGATTGTCAGACCATTCCATTAGAAAATGTGACTATAATCATAAAAATACCGAATATCGGGGGTACCCGTGCAAAATTTTAGCTTCCTATCATAATTCGTTTTGACTGAGGCGTGATTCCAATAGACGGACGGACAGCTCTAAATCCTCTTAGAATTTTACGCTGACCAAGAATATATATACTTTGTTGGGTCTAAAATGATTATTTCGATGAGTTACAAACGGAACGACGAATTTAATATACCCTCCATACTAAGTATGGTGGAGGGTATAAAAAAGTAGCTAAGTTCTGCCGAGCCGAATTGTTAATATCCTCCACCATTTGGGAGCAACTTGAAAAATTAAAAAAACAAGTTAAAATGTATCAGTCGGTATTGCCGCCAGATATATACCCTCAGCCTATGTTCGATTATTTAAATATATTTTTACTAGTGTTAAATTTATTCAAACGTTTGACCCTCTATGGAGAAGGTCCAAAAGGAATGGGCCAATATTGTCCATTTCCTATCGGACCCAAAAATATGATATAAATATTGCGACAGATGTGCCAAGTCTAAATGGAATCTGATGTTAATTTGGCGTTTTATGAGCTTCATGGGTACTCAGAATTTCAATATTTTGTGGGGGAGGTACCAGAAGGAGTGGACCGATGTATTCCCCCTTCACACCAGACCATGCGTTAATACAAATATTAGGATGTGTGAAGTTTGAAGACAATCGCACTTTTACATCACATTTAATGAGATTGTAATTATTCAAAATTTTGACCATTTGTGGGGGAGGTACTTGATAGAGTGGACCGATATTGTCCATTTTCACACCTGGCCTAGCGCTGACGCGAATATTAGAATATGCAAAGTTGGAGCCAATTCGGATTATCCTTTCTCTTTCTGTGCAAAAATATATTTTTTGAAAATTTCGACCTTTTGTGGGGGAGGTACCAAAAGGAGTGAACCGATATTGTTCATCTTCGAACTCGATCTAAGTTTTGACAAAAATATTACGATGTACTAAGTTTGGACCAAATCGAATACTCTCTTCGAGAGTTATCGTGCGCACCAGCCAGACAGACAGAGAGACGGACGGACGGACATCGCTAGATCGACTCCAAATGTTCTGAAACGGATTTGGTCCAAAGAGACCTAGGTTCTAAAACCGTTATTTCGACTAGGCACGTTTTGGCCGTATCAAATGATATATACCCTCTGTAGCCATATGGCTGAGGATATAAAAATCCGAAAACTACCACTTAAATGAAAACCCTTTATGGGGCTATATATATGCATACGAAATTTTTTGCACATAGGCTGCTGTACCCGTTAAGCACTTCCAATACGAAATTTGAAACGATTCCGCTGAATAATATTGCTGAAATCATCAAAATACCGAATATCGGTAGGTACCGTTATATGGGGACTATACGAAGATGTTGACCTGCATGCAAAAATTTTTGTCATAGGCTGTAGTACCCATTACAATCTTCAAATACAAAATTCAAAATAATTCCGGTAAATAATGTCGCTAAAATCATGAAAATACCGAATTTCGGAAGGTACCGTTATATGGGGGCTATACGAAGATGTCATAGGTTGTAGTACCCATTACGAACTTTAAATATGAAATTTGAAATAATTCCGGTAAAAAAATTTCGCTAAAGTCATGAAAATATCGAATATTGGGGCTATACGAAAACGTGGACCGACATGGCCCATTTTCGAACATAAACTGCCTACTGGTAAACTGTGCATGTATGCAAAATTTTAGCCTTCTATCTCAATTCGTTCGAAAGACAGTGTGACGGATCGCAGACAGGCAGACATCGCTCGATCGTCTTAGAATTTTAAGCTGATCCAGAATATATATACTTTGTAGGGTTTTTTTTATTAATATTTCGAGGAGTTACAAAGGGAATGCCAAAGCTAATATATCCTCCATAGAATGGTGGAGGGAATAAAAAGTGCATTTATTGAAAATTTCTAACCCTGACCTTAATTGCATTTCCAATAAATATTTCCCATTTCTTTTCCATGTCAAAACTTGAAAGAAAATCATGCCACAACAACAACAACACACATAAATAAATACTCGCCCCACAAAAAATTGAGATATACCAAACGACACCCAAAAAACGAAATGCTATTGACTTACCTTAATTCACGTCCCGGTTCGGCACGTACATGCGGTGTCTGTATCGATTCACGGAAAATCGCACCACCTTCGCCGTCCACACGCAGGGCATGGGCTCCGATTGTGACTTCATCTCGATTAACGGAAAATAAATTTCTTCCGTTTGTATCATTGATGCGAAATGATGTCGCCATGCACTCGAGCTTATCGTGTCCCAGAAATAAATGATTTTCCAGCAGACCATCGACGCCGCGTGTATTGATTGAAAAATTACGTGATGTTTCTATCCAACACACACACACACACGAATGGGGAATACATGAAATAAACAAATAAACAGATGAAATCGTAGATAGGTATAAGAAAATTCTCAATTCAAAGTCAAGTTAAAATGGTGTATATGTACGTATGTATATTATGTTTGCAATATAAAGTAGGATTTAAGTTGAATAAGTTTAGAGCAGACTATACCACACATCCAAAAGAACTACTTTGTATTAATGTAAATAAAATTCAAGTCAAACTATACAGAATATTTTAGTCCGAAAGTTTAGTGGTCCGATAAATACAGGATGAGATGAAAAAACGGGAACCAAAATCTCCGGATACCAATCCTGGACTATTGTGTCTGGAGTATTTTGGAAAGCAAGGTTGGCACTAAAAAATACCAAAGTGTCCATCGCCTCAAGCAAGCGTTTCGCCGGGAATGGGCCAAGATACCGGTGACGGTTTCATTGGTCGTTTGAAGGCCATAATTCGTGCCAAAGGTGACCAATTCGAACAAATCTAAACTTATTCTAAAATTTAATGCTATTTCCGACATTTTTGGCTTTCATGCAATGAAATTAAAAAAGAAAATGTAAAATTATGACATTCGAATTTGTTGCAGTTTTTTATCTCACCCTGTATAATGCGATTTCTGGGGGTACTGAAAGGATTGAATCGACATCTTCACACCAAACAAAATATGAGCAGAAATATTGAAATGTGTGAAGCTTTCAGAAAATCTGCAAATATTTCATATTTTTATAATTATTATTCAAAAATTAGCTTTTGTGACGCTTAGCGGGAAGTTACAATAAATAGTGGACCTCGATTTTCATACCTGACATAGGTCTGAAATAAATATTATGATGTGCAATATTTTTCTATATTAGTAGTTTTTTTTTTTGTGAGAATTTTCCTAAGGACCATCAGTGCTATAATCGCCAAGTTTTAAACTATATGTTTCCAAGGGCTATATGAGCTACCAGCAAGTACCCGCTACTTCGTCTGCGGAAAGTTCAACTACAAAGTTGGGCCTTTTTATACCCTCCTGATCAGCATAAAATTCTAGGTCGATTTAACGGTGTCCGTCTGACGTCCGTACTTGAGGAAGAGCTTCAACATTTGGCGGAACAATTTGTATTATGTCTAGAATGGTTGGTATTGAAAATGAGATATATCGGTCTACGTTCTGGTATAGCCGCCATATAACGGATCCTCCCGATATTCGGTATTTTGTTGATTTTAGCGACATTATTCACCGGAATTGTTTCAAATTTGGAATTTGAAGTACGTAATGGATACTACTAGCCTAAGACGGAAAATTGTCTGAGCAGGTCCACCATTTCGTATAGCCCCCATATAAGGGTACCTCCCGATATTCGGTATTTTGATGATTTTAGCGACATTATTCACCGGAATTGTTTAAAATTTGATATTTGAAATTCGAAATGGATACTGCAGCCTAAGACAGAAAAATATCTGTGCAGGTCCACGTCTTCGTGGACCCCTCATATAAGGGTACCTCCCGATATTCGGTATTTTGATGATTTTAGCGACATTATTCACCGGAATTGTTTGAAATTTGATATTTGAAGTTCGAAATGGATACTACAGTCTAAGACAGAAAATTATCTGTGCAGGTCCACGTCTTTGTGTAGCCCCCATATAAGGGTACCTCCCGATATTCGGTATTTTGATGATTTTAGCGACATTATTTACCGGAATTGTTTCAAATTTGGCAGTTGAAGTTGGAAATGGATATTACAGCCTGTGACAGAAAATTGTCTGTGCAGGTCCACGTCTTCGTATAGCTCCCATATAAGGGTACCTCCCGATATTCGGTATTTTGATGATTTTAGCGACATTATTCACCGGAATTGTTTCAAATTTGGCAGTTGAAGTTCGCAATGGATATTACAGCCTGTGACAGAAAATTGTCTGTGCAGGTCCTCGTCTTCGTATAGCCCCCATATAAGGGTACCTCCCGATATTCGGTATTTCGATGATTTTAGCGTCATTATTCACCGGAATTGTATCAAGTTACGTATTTAGAGTTGGTAATGGGAACTTCAGTATGTGACAAAAAATTGTCTATGCAGGTCCAGGTCTTCCGATATGCCCCATATATCAGTACCTCCCTATTTTTGGTATTTTGACGAATTTAGGTAAAAAATCCATCGAAATTGTTTGAGATGTCGTATTTGAAGTTCGTAATGAATGCTACAGCCTGTGACAGAAAATTGTCTATTATTATTGGTACCTCCCTATATACGGTATTTTGATGATTTTAGCTTCATTATTTGCCGTTTATTTCAAGTTTCGAATTTAAGCCATTACCATGCTTATAACAAACAAAGATTCACTTCATAGAGACCATAATATAATGACTATATTCGGTATTTGTAAGGTTTTCACACAATTTTTAACGGGTTTTATTTTTTTAAAATATCCAAATTCGTTCCAAATGTTGGAAGGTATTCAAAGTTCGGCAATGGCTTATAACAAACAAAGGTTCACTTCATATTCGGTATTAGTAAGGTTTTCACACAATTTTTAACGGGTTTTATTTTTTGAAAATTTCCAAATTCGTTCCAAATGGTGGATGGTGTTCAAAGTTCGGCTACTGCTTTTTAACTTATTTAATTTTCAAGTATATAGGTGTCTATAGACCTGACACATCTTTCCCCAATGACCAGAATGTCCATTCATTTCTACTTTATGCGGCATATTAATGCTCTCTTGCTCCAATTATTGTCGTTCATTTGGTTAATTTGAAATTAGGCTTGAGTAACTCTGACAAATTTGCATAAGACATTTTTCATTATATTCTTCCCCAAGTGTCACTAAAATCCAGATCATTTCCCGAAAATCTTTCCACAATATTCATACCACTACCATACCGTTTGTGTGTGTACTCTAAGGCACATCACCGTATCAGGTTGCAATCCATTGGATCCACATGTCACCTGTAGTTGTGGTACGTCTTTGGTTTTGGTGTTTTGTTGTACGTGGATATGTGGTAAATTCTTTAGAGGTTTTATCTTCATTCCGCCCGGACACATGTTTGCTGCGACCATGCCATGCGACACAAGGTAATATTTTAAGATTAGTTATTTTTGATAAACGAGAACGAAAAAAACACGAAACGTTAACAACGGAAATAGAATTTGCTGTCCTACACATCATTGCATACAAGCCAAGCTATCCCCACCGTTGTCCCTGTGCATTAACTGGAGGAGGAGCAAATGCTCACTCCCCTCCAGAGTTCTGTTTTGTGGTTTTGTCTTCTTATCATTCAAGTTGTCTTTTTCTTCTGTTGCCATTTTCAGGTTCGGATTTCATTCCGGTGTCATTTTCACTCTTGTGAAATACTCCTCATGTACGAATTACATCTATCATTGAACTTTATCTGAAATTGTGCATCTCACACACACACACACACACACACACCTCTCACCCTCCACGCTAGTATTAAATCCCGCCATGTCTTCAACAACATTTGTACAGCGTGGCGAATTCGGAATTCGGTTTTGAGGTTCATGGTCGTTCTGTATATTTTTGTGAAGTGATTTATTGCATCGAGTGTTTGTATCGCAATGGTCGAGTCGAATATTTATGCGTTGAGTTGATGAATGATGTGGAACATTTGTTTATGGCAATTTGATTTTGTGTGAAATATTCACAGACAAAAAACCAACATTAAATTAAGCGTTCATAATTTTTTTAATATTTGAGTTTTTTACAAAGGTTTTAATTATAAAAAATAATACAAAGAAAAAATTTACCTTGAGTCAGAAAGGAAATGCATTTTCGAGGTGATGGTGCTTAAGACATTTATTTCGGATTTAGTCTGTTTTGAAATACAACAACAATCTGTTACTAGGGGACTTCAAACCTTACATTTTTTACTACAGGGAAAACTAATTGGCTGGAATTGATGGAGTAGATCAACCGCTTATTGCTCGACATAACAGTGTCAATGTGTCAATGCAATCCCATACAACATTTCATAAAAAGTACCATGCTTTGGTGAGAGGGCAGATAACCAATTGGAATTCTTTGGATGGCTCATATTGTATTGGAATAATGATAAAACTACCTCTCACAGGATTAAAACCAATTAAAAATAAGGGAGAAATATACGTTGGGGCTATACCCAAATCTTAACCGATTTCTATAAAACTTGCCAAATCAATTTCTAGGCTGTATCTGATATCTTGTGCCCAATATAATTTTAGTGGAGTGAAAATTACATCTTTGGGGGACTTACATATCTTTATGGGCTCTGAAAAATTAAGAATACTTAGAGAGAATGAGAAATGATTAAAAATCAATCGTCTGGTATCTCTAGTGTCTAAGTCTAAGAATTTTTTTAAGAAATCCACCATTTAGTGAACCTCTAAGTCTCAGAAAAAAATTAAGAATTAAAAAAATATTTAAATATAACTCTTGAAGAATTTAAGCAATTCGTTGAAATATTCACGACATTAACGGAGGTTCAGCCAAATCTTCATGACCTTTAGATAAGTTTGAAAATTTGCTTAAAATACACAATTTATGACTTTTTGATAAGCTCCAGGCCAGAAAAACTACCATTTCGGAATAAATGATCTTAATTAAAAGACCACAATGAAAGGATTAAAAAAAGAGGCTCACTAATAAAAAATCAGGAATATGGCCTGAGGAAATATTAAATAAGTAAGAGGGGCAGATCATGTGATACCCTACAAAACTACAATATGTTAGAAGACTCTTTATGTCCAAATCCATTTTGGAAGATTTCGCTTTTGAAATTATGTCATGGAGCAGTGCTCAGACATTACCATTAGCTTTTTGACCAGGGACATTTGTCCAATATTTACGCACTCCGTCGTGCTCTTAGTTGTTGTGGTCAATTTTACAGCTAAATATAATCCAATGGTCATCCAAAATGTGAGAATTCTTCCTGTCCTTACCTCTGTTCTCAGGGGTGCCGATTTGTTTCAATCGTGTGATCAGGAAAATGTTTCTGTTTTTGTTACATTTGAACCCCCTAAATATTTTGCTATCATCTCCAAAAGCAAAAGGCCCCTCTGTATCTCTAAATTTAGACTCACCTATATGATTAGCTTGTCTACGATATTTGGCTATATTTGTCAATAAAATCAGAATAAAAAAGCTAGTAGTTCGCCTTTTTGTGTATTTTGGATATCACCTGAAAGTAATGGTGGTATTTTTTCACACAAAAGTAGTGGTCCATTCTACCCGCTGTCCTAAACCCTAACTTCATGCGAGAGTTCGTATCGTTTGGTTTCTATTTGTGACCTTTATAACATTTTTAGTTGTTTGTCCATTTAAACCCCCTAATATATTGCGGACATCTTTTAAAACAATAGGTCTAGCCCTTCTGAGCCCACAAGTACCCTTAAGAAAATTGAGGATCGGACGATATTTGCAATACTTATATAATATCTCCAACCTGTGTTGTAAGGTGAAAAATATTACAAAATATACACTTCGATGTTATAAGTCAAAATAAAAAAATCGCATGCGATAAAAAACATGAAAAAATAAAAAAAATCACAAAATACTACAAAATCTATATGAACATCATCTTTTTATGTGATTTGTTTTGATTTTATACTTTTATGCCAAGAAGCCATTCTGAATTGACAAAATTTGTAAAAATCGGTCCAGCCATTCTTGAGATATAAGCATTCTAACTAACATCCCCTACCTTTGTATACACACATTGTATAAATTTCGCTTGAAATATCCGATATATTTACTATCGGCATCTGCGTAACGGTCAGAATAGGCCTGTTCGTCTATCTGTAATTTCGCCGGTAATAAAAATATTCGTTGTTCGTCTATCTGTAATTTCGCCGGTATTAAAAATATTCGCGGTTTAATGGAAAATTTGACTTTTATTTAATACAATGATATGGGCTGTACACCCACTTAATATTATCCGATGACCATCAAAATTCGAAAACTTCTACCCAGCCCTAAGCCCTAGCCCCACGCTAACTTCCGCGTCGATTGGTCTATAATTGCAACCTGTAGAGCAACGGCAGAATCAGTAAATTTTATTTCATCTATTTATTTTTAAATTTTTGGTCCATTTCAACCCCTAAATATTATGCGATCATCTCCAAAAGCAATAGAATTCTATTCTGGCCCTAGCCCCACCTCTATTCTAAATTTTGTGAAGATCGGGCCATAATTGCGACCTGTAGAGTGATTACAAATTAACATGGACAGACGGCCAGACGAACCGACGGACATACATAGCTACATCGACTCAGCTCGGCGAGATAGGAAGATCCATATATACTTTCCTATGTGGGAAACCAATATTTCGAGGTGTTCCATAATTTTTGGCCCAATCAAAGTTATATTACCTCCAACACATAGTATTGTAAGGTATAAAAATCCAATATATAACTTTTAGAGGATCCTAAAAAGTTCTAGAAAATAAAAAAAAAAAATATGTTGAAAAAATCTAGATTTTGGAATCTCGAAAGAGAATCGAAATATTCTATAAGATTTTCATGATTTACAATCTTTAGCGCACGGCTCCACAATTTTTTTTTGAATTTTTATGTTTAAAGAGTTTTAAAAATTCCAAATATCTTAAAACCCAGGGCTCAACGGATCATTAAAAGGTTAAACAAGTAAAAAAGCAGCAGGTTCGGGTGGGCCGAACTTTGAATACCCTCCACTATTTGGAACGAATTAGGAAATTCTCAAAATATTAAATCCATTAAAAATTCCTTTAAAATCTTAAAAATACCGAATATCGGAAGATGCAGATATATTGGGGATATACGATATTGTGGACCTATATAGACAAATCCATATCTGGGGGTAATGTACTCACAAGGAACTTCTTGTGTGGAATTTCAGACAATTCCATTGAAAAATGTGGCTATTATCAGGAAAATACCGAATATGTGGGGGCAGCGTTTTATGTGGGCCACACGATATCGTTGACCTATATAAATAATTCTCTTTCAGAGGGTAAAGTGCTCAGAAGGAACTCCTTTTGTGGAATTTCGGACAATTCCATTGAAAAATGTGGCTCGAACTTGACCTGCCTGCAGACAAAAAACTAATCTGTGCAAAATTTTAGCTTCCTATCTTTATTCGTTTTGACTGTAGCATGATTACAACAGACGGACAGAGCTAAATCGTCTTAGACTTTGACGCTGATCAAGAATATATGTACTTTGTTGTGTCTTCAATTATTATTTCGATGAGTTACAAACGGAATGACGAACTTAAGATACCCTATATACTATGTATGGTGGAGGGTATAAAAATCCATCCTTTAAGGCTTTAATATAGGCTAAAAATTATATGAAGAGTCCACGATACAGAATTCAAACAAGTTTTAGAAATGTTCGACTTTTAAAAATTCAAAACTTAATGTACACAGTTTTTTATGGATTTGAGCTTTTAGAATAAGTTGTGTTTGAAAGAGGCTATGAGGTCCTAGCCTACCTCAAACACTACTTGTTCTAATCATTCATCAACATTTTTCTTATCAACGACTCTTTCCAGTCATTAAATAAATTATCAATATTCATCAGCATCAAATTTGACAATATTTTTCAAAATAATTTTCAAATTTATTATGTAACAGATGTCAATTTTTGTTGTTTAGAAAAAAATACGATTGGCATTTCCCCGAAATCCCAACAGATAGTAGTTATCATGGTTGCTTTACTCAGTTCATATTGTTCGTCAAAGTTTTGCTTCATTAACATTGGTATAAAGAACAAAAAAGAAGGAAACTTGGTGTGAATCAACAAAATTATAGCCTCAGGTAAATATAAGTTTTGCCATAGTAATATTTGAATAAAATACCAAAATTTTACTAAGTCACTTATCTGTAGTTGAGAATAACACATCCGTCTATGCTGCTTTGTGTGTGCTTAACACAAATAAATGTTAACAATGACTTTTAAATAAATTTCCTTGCAACAAATCACTAAAAATCTATTCAAACATCCGGAATTTCCCCCCCCCCTTCGTACACACACACAAAACCCTTAAATAAACAAATACCTACAAATGCTTTTCCGTTTCAAATGACAAGCAGAAAATCTTAACGAGCCGATAAGGATATAATCCCACACACACACCTCCACACATACACAAGTCGAGAAAACAAATCTCTGAGATTTATGTGCAAATCTACTGCCCCCAAAAATGTAAATGACTAATCAACATCTGGGCGATAGATAAACATAAAATGAATAAATAAATAGATAAATAAACTATTAAATATTTTTGGGTGTTGGATTCAATCTAATCATTTCTCAAAAAGAGCCACATGAAAAGGGTTTGAGTAAATCACATAATTTTGAATATTAATTAGGTAAACATAAGACATCATGATTAGCCAGCAAATGATGAACTATAATTTTGTAATTTATGACAATGTGTTTGAGAGTTTTTTTTTGTTGTTTAATGACCTGCTCATGTAAATATTTAAATAGTTTATTATGTTGTATGATGTTGCTTACCTATAGATAAAGGCTGGCCATGCCTTGAACGTATCGATGAGGCTCGTAACATATCCATAATTAAAGCTTGTCCAGTAAGTTGTATGCCTCCAGGAACAATTTTAAGTTGGCCCATGCCTTCCTATGAAAAAAATGAATGGATAAATTTGCATTATTAATATGGAGATTGGGGGGAAAGTTTATCAATGTCATTCTATAAAGGTCACAAGATTAATTATAAGATTTTGTTGAATAAACCTATGACCGATGATAAAATGCCTTAAGAAGAATTGCATAATTTACTTTCACATAATTTGTGATATAGCTGTGTAAATTACTCTTTAGGTTGAATAATGTTATTACAACAGAAAGAAATGACAAAGAATAAAATGTCATATTTTAAGAACACATCAATTTAGCATGTGTCCGACGACCTCATTTTCTAATTATACAAAAAATATGCCACAAATTATGAGTTCCAATAAAAATATGGGTTGCCAGTAACGAAGTAGCTAATTAGGTTATCTCTTCAATTTTTTCATGCATAAAACGATGCCACTCAAAATTATTGAATTGCCCGGAATTTTACACATGGAACTCTTTACTCTGGTGGATTTTTTTATACCCTCCACCATACATAGTATGGAAGGTATATTAAGTTCGAAAATTTTAAAATAAAATTTCAGACCTAACAAAGTATATATATATTCTTGATCAGACAAAAATTCTAAGACGTCCGTACGCCTGTCCGTCTGTTGCAATTTCGCTAGAGTTACAACAAATTAAGATAGGAAATTTTACACAGATCAGTCTTTTGTGTGCAGGCAGGTCAAGTTCGAAAATGACAAATTGTTGAATGAAATTGTCTCAAAATCAACACAAAGAGTTCCCTCTGAGTACTTTACCCTCTGGAAGAGAATTGGCTATATAGGTCCACGATATCGTATATTCCTCATGTAACGGTACCTACCGGTATTCGGTATTTTGATGATTTTAGCCACATTTTTCAACGGAATTGTCTGAAAATCCACAAAGGAGTTCTCTATAAGTACATTACCCCCTGGAGTACATTATCCCCTATATAACGGTTCCTCCCGATATTAGGTATTTTGTTGATTTTAGTCAAATTTTCAACGGAATTATTTGAAAATCCACAAATGAAGTTTCCCCTGGAAAAAAAATGTACAGGGTGAGATGAAAAACTTGTAACCAACTTCAGACTGCTGTCATTTCTAAGCCACTCGTCCCACAGATGTTAAAATTATTTCAGTGGCAGCTCATTATATTGTTTACAAGCGTACAAAAGCATTTTGGTCAGAGTTTTCCAGAAAAAAAGTTATTCGGGATGGAATTCTTTATGTTTGGCTGAAAAACCAATATTGGCCATCGTTAGAGCACTCCCATCATCGTAACATCGCTGGTTACCGTGATACTGGTAGCATAGACCGACGTCAAGGAAGTGTACAGTAGAAAACAGCAGAAATAGTTCGAATAGTAAAGGAGCGCCTTGATCGAAACCCGCGTCGCAGTGGCTGAAGAAAATTTGGCTCGTGAGCTGAACATATAGCAATATTCCATTCGGCAAATATTAAAAATGAGCTCGGGGTAAAGCCATTGAAATTCAAAAAAGTGCAAGAACTTACACACCAACAAGAAGAAAATAGACTCAGAAGAGCTAAAGAGTTGCTTCGCTTGGCCGAAAGTGGTGAACTGCCGAATTTGGTTTTCTCCGATGTGAAAACATTTGTGGTCCAGCAGTTTGTAAACAAACAAAATGATCGTGTTTACTTGCTAAAGAGGTCAGCTGAAAATGTGTACCTTCGGTTGGGCATCAGAACTCAAGCGCCTGTCATGGTGATGGTGTGGGCCCCCATAACAGCCGATGGTCGCCTTCCGCTCGTATTAGTCGACTGTGGCATCAGAATAATTGGCGAATATTATAGCGAAAATATTCTGGAGGGTTTATTAAAGTCTTGGGCATGCAAACATTTTGGCCGCAGACCTTGGACCTTCCAACAGGACTCAGCACCATCGCACTCAGCACGCACCACCCAAGAATGGTTACAAAATGAGGTTCCTCGCTTCATTTCCAGTGCACAATGGCCACCAAAATATCCGGATACCAATCCGTTGGACTATTGTGTCTGGAGTATTTTGGAAAGCAAGGTTGGTACTAAAAAATACGAAAGTGTAGATCACCTCATGCAAGCGCTTCGCCGGGAATGGGCCAAAATACCGGAGAGCAAACTTTCGGGCGATGTGTGATGGTTTCGTAGGCCGTTTGAAGGCCATAATTCGTGTCAAAGGTGACCATTTCGAACAAATCTAAACTTATTCTAAAATTTGATGCTATATCCGTATTTGATGTTTTCATTCAATAAAATTAAAAAAATAAAATGTAAAACTTATGGCGTTTGACATTGTTGCAGTTTTATAATCTCACCCTCTGTTTACTTGTTGGTATTGATCTCGAAATTGTATTTTTGTAGTCAAACACACCACATTTTGCTTCGCTGTTTTTTTTTCGAAACTATTGAACTTTGTATTGATTTGAAGTGTTTACCTTTTGCGAGAGAGGTACACGAATTAATGGACTAGTGGACCCTAAGCCCCTTCCTTTATCCGAACTTTGTGCATCAAATAAAAAAATAAATATCAGACATTTATTTCTTTGTTTGATGCACAAAATTCGGATAAAGGAAGGGGCTTAGGGTCCATGACCGTTATATCGATAAAGTACATTTCTGCGGTATAAAATTATGTGTTTATATATATCGATATATCGATAAAGTACATTTCTGCGGTATAAAATTATGTATTTGCTATGTAGAGATTAGGCTAAGGCATAAGAAATAATATTTATTAAAGAAAGTGAAGTGAGCATCTGAACAGGTGTTGTAAGTACGTATTCTAGTACACATTACAATTTCAAAATATCGGATTGTAGCCATATCAGTTTGAGTTAAACCTTTCAAGTCATCTAAAATCTGTCATTACCGCTAAGCTGGGCTTATGTCTGGTAGTGAAACCTTTAAATCTCCTCAGCATTTCCCAGATGGTTTGTATTTTCAGGAAATATAAATATTGCACTATTTTCTACCAAGAATAAATTTTAATTTTGAAAAATAATTTAAACCCAGTAAGGTAAACTTAAAAGACGGGCGGGCCGACTATATGATTCCCTACACCACTATGTATATTTAGTAGAACTCTCGTAAAAGAATGGTTTATATTGCAATTTCTGAGTTCTATGACATATCTGGTACACAATATCATTATGGTAGAGTTCATATTCCGAAAGTTGGAGATTTAAAAACCAAATCGGACGAAACATATACATGGGAGTAAATTTGACATTTTTCCTTCTATGCTAAACTCGGTTGAATTTCGAAAATTCACTTCATTTGGGTTATTATCAGCTATTTGGTGCACAATAAACCTGAAATCGAATAATGATATTTATGGAGGCTATATCCAAATCTGAGCCGATCTTCACAAAATTGAAAACAGCTATTTCTTGGCTAGATATCCGATGATCTGGTACCAAATAGTATTCTTGTATCGTGCACCAAATTTAAAGTACTCATTTCTATACCAAATTCGGTCTGAAGTGCCAAAATTCACACCATTTGGACTGATATTAGCCATTTAGTGCACAAAAAAATAAAATCGGATGAAGATATATATGGGAGCTATATCCAATTCGGAACCGATCTTGATAAAATTTGAATCATGAATTGCTGGGCTGTATCTGATATCTGGTGCAAAATATCAGTCTCGTGGAGTGCATATTACAAATGTGAGGAATTTAAAAACCAAATCGGAGGAGACATATATATGGGAGCTATAGCTATATCTGAACCGATTTTCATTAAATTTAAAGCACATGCTTGTAGGCTGAATTCGGTCGGATGTGGCAAAATTGATGCCATTTGGACTGATATTACCCATTTGGTGCACAAGAAACCTAAAATCGGATGAAGATATATATGGGAGCTATATCTAAATTTGGACTGATTTTCATCAAATTCAATAAGGTTGGACCTTGAGCCATACAAATGTTATTTAGAAAATTTCACTCAATCGAATAATAAATGCGACCTGAGTTTTGTTTACAAAAATACATGGACAGACGGACGGACATGCATAAATCGACTCAAAATGTGATTCTATGCAGATCATCAAAAGGAACTATGGGTCTATCTCGTTTTCTTCTCCATGTTACAAACAAATGCACAAAGACATTATACCCTTACCACTATGTGGTGTAGGGTATAAAAATATATATATGATATAAATTTAAAATTTCAAAATCATATGATCTTTACCTACCGTTGAGAATTCCATGACCTTTAGTATCCACAGCGTCAGACCCAAATTGACAATGATTAACAACATTAGCAGCACCAGCAGGGTGTAGAGGCATTTTTTCCGCCAACCGATCAGGCCCAAATTCATTTCAATGTCATCGACTAGACTGGAGGTGTTGCTAAAACCCTTGGCAGTTGTTGTGGTCCCACTGCCGCCACTACTGCTGGCTTGCATTGTCGACGAGAGTTTCTGTTTTTGCCGTTGATTTTGGGCGGTGATGCGGTTGCGTTTTGACGAGGCCGTTGTTGAGTATGGAAATTTGTTGTTGCTTTTGGAGTTGCTCGAGGAGGGATAAGTTGCTGTTGTTAGTTGGCCGGGGGGTGATGATAAAGATGTTGAGGTTTTTCCTGCAGCACATTTAGTGTCATGCACTAAATCCACTACACCATCCGCTATGAATGATGTGGGCAATTGTTGCTGTTGTTGTTGTCTACAGCCGGCAGTGGTAGATAGAAGGGGTAAGGTGTGGATACGGCGTGTTGAACGTGCGCTCGATGTACTGCCGTTAAGGTTTTCCGTTATAGTTCCGTTTCCGCCCGCTATTAGGGAGGATGTGGACGATGAAGCGTAGTTAACACCGGCGTTGTCAGTGATAATCACACCTGTGCTAGTATTTATCACCGTCTTTGTATCATTTGGCTTGTTGTAACGCTGATAACGAATAGCTTGTTGTTGTTGATGCTGCTGCTGTTGTTGTTCCTGGTTCCAGTGTCTTAAAAGGCTTGTACTGCTATGACATCCTTTGGTGTAATCTTCGTTTAAGTTTGTTGCACTTTCGCCACTGCCTATTGGCCCTTCCGCATAGACACCTTTGGCCAAGTTATTGTTGAGCAGCAGACGCTCCTCCTGCTGCTGCTGCTGTTTATTTAGCAATTGTTCTTCCTCTTCTCGTAGCAGTTGTTGTTGCTTTTTACGTTTAAATGTTGAGGTGGGTGAAGTGAATACAAAAGTGGTACCTGAATCGGAATTTTGTTGTATCTGTAGCTGCTGCTGCTGTTGTGGCAATGTTTTATGCGAATCGACGACCGTCAACGCCGATGCAGAGCTGGGCAATGTTGTGGCATTAGAAGTCTGTGAAAGAATTTCGGGAGGTTGTAGTAAAGTGCCATTGATCGCATAACCATTACTTTTACTACGGGGTTGAATTTGGTTTAGGTTTGGTTTGGTTATTTTGAGACGAGTTAAGATGATGGGAGGAAGTTTTGGTTGGTTGGTAAATCGATATAATTTTTTTTTATTTTGATAGTAGTGGTTGGTGGTTTTGGTGGTGGTGGTGAAGCAAATGTTTTATTTTATTATTTTTTTGTTTGGTCAATGCATGGAAAAAGGTTAGAAACAAGTAAAGATAAATATGCAAATAACGTCATTAACAACTGGTATAACAATTGGAATAGTGATTTTATTCTAGATTAGAGGTATAACAAGGCAACATAACATGACATGCAAGTGTGAAGCTTTTGCTAACGGAATATATTACTAAAATAACTACTATTGGGATTTCTAAAATTGTAGGAAATGCAGGATCCTTGGGAATATTTTATGTGTCTTCTTAAGTCATGTAAAAGCAAATTATATCTGTAACTTTTATGGGATTGAAAATCAAATTTATCAGTTTATGTTTCGTCCGTCTGTCTGGCTGGCTGGTCCGCACGATAACTCTCGAAGGGATTATCCGATTTGGTCCAAACTTGTATGTCGTAATATTTTTGTCAAACTTAGATTGAGTTCGGAGATGGGCAATATTGGTCCACTCCATGTGGTACTTCCCCTACAAAATGTCGACATTTGCAAAAAATGTATTTTCTGCACAGAAAGAAAAATGATAAGCCGATTTTCCTTCAAATTTGTACGCCATCAAGTACCTTCCCCACAAAGGGTCAAAATTTGGAATAATTACAACACTTATAAAATGTGGTGTAATAGTCCGATTGTTATCAAATTTCACACAGTCTAATATTTATATTAACCCAAGGTCTGGTGTTAACATGGAATATATCGGTCCACTTCATCTGGTACCTCCCCCACACAAGATCGAAATTTTCAAAAAAAAAAAAGAGAAACAATAATCATAACAAATATTCGAAAATTGACTGAGGGTATACATATGTCGGCAAAAACGACCGAAACTTTTTTACTTTTCATCAAACATGGATCGAGTTCAGAAGTGGGTAATATCGGTCTACTCCTTTTAGTACCTTAAAGAAAATATTTGAAAGAGCAAGGATCATCCGATTTTGATCGAACTTTTTATACCCTCCACCAAAAAAAGTATGGAGGGATTTTACCCACATTTTTCATCGGAATTGTCTGAAAATCCACGCAAGGAGTTCCTTGTGGGTACTTTATACCTCGGCAGAGAATTATCTATATAGGTCCACGATATCGTATAGCGCTCATATAACGGTACCCCCGATATTCGGTATTTTGATGTTTTTAGCCATATTTTTCAACGGAATGGTCACAAGGGTTTCTTTGTACACTAGAGGTTCTTTGTGAGCACTTTACCCCCCGACAGAGAATTCTCTATATAGGTTAACGATAACATATAGCTCCCATATAACGGTACCCCGCGATATTCGGTATTTTGATGATTTTAGCCACATTTTCCAATCATATTGTCTGAAAATCCACACACGGAGTTCTTTGTGAGCACTTTACCCCTGAAACGGAATTATCTATATAGGTCCACAATATCGTATATCCCCCATATAACGGTACTCCCCTATATTCGGTATTTTGATGATTTTAGCCACTTTTTCCAATGGAATTATCTGAAAATCCACACAAAAAGTTTCTTGTGAGTACTTTACACGCAGACATATATTTGTCTTTATAGGTCCACAATATCGTATATCCCCCCATATTTTTGGATTTTATTTTAATGGATTTTATTTTTTTTTTGAAAATTTTCTAATTCGTTCCAAAAGGCCCGGCCGAACCTACTGCTTTTTTTCGTGTTATATCCTAATATTTGCATTAACAGTTAGTTAGGTCAGGTACGAAAATGGTCAATATCAAGTAACTCCGCCACAAGGACATTTGCCCATCAAGTACCTCCACCACAAACGGTCAAAATTTTGAACTCTTATAAAATGTGACATAAACGTCCGACTGTCGTTCAATTTCACACTTCACAATATTTTAATTCACCCAAGATCTGGTGTGAAGATAGGCTTCTGGTACCCTCCCTCAATTTTTGAATATCTATGAAGCACATAAAACAAACTTGGCACATTTTAATATATCTATCAACACAAGATCTGTTGCGATGATGGTAGATATTTGTCTACTCCTTCTCGTACCTCCCCCTACAATGGGTCAAAATTTTGAATAACCAAAACGATCATAAAATACGAAATACGCATTCGGTTCTCTTCAAATTTCACACATCCCAATTTCTTCCAACACAAGATCTGCTGTGAAGATGGGATATATCGGTGCTCTCCTTCTAGCAACTCCCCCACAAACATCCGATTCCATTCAAACTTGACACATTTCATCATTTCCGTCAACACAAGATCTGTTATAAAGATGGTAGAAATCGGAATTCTTCTGATACCTCCCCACATGGGGTTCACGATTTTGAAAAACAAAACGATAAAAGAACGCGAAATAAGCATCCAACTCTCTTTAAATTTCAGACACCACACCCACAAAGGGTCACAATTTTCAATACTTTTATCTGTCAGAACTTGCCACACAAGTCAGCGATTCTTCAGGACTTGATATATCCAAATATTTCTCTCAATCAGATATCTGAGATGAATATAGAATTTACGATTTCGGATAAAATTGGATATAAATGTTTGATTTTCTTGTAATTTTGCCTATACCAAGAGTTTTATTTGCATTGGATGAAGTGTGAAAATTGAATACTTCGATGCGCTTTATTTGATACCTCAAGCAAATTTCAACATTTCCTAAAGATTATCACATATTTCATATAAAGTGAGGGAAGTAGTCGACGTAAAAAACCTGACGCGTCGCAATATTTATATTATATTTATTTGGGCCTGATACGAAATGGACAATATTGGTCTATTCCTTCGGATCATAGTCTATGAGTTTGAATAATCATAACAGAAGTCCAAATATATTTAAATAATAGAACATAAGTTGAGGGTATACACCTCTCGGCAAAACCGACTTGTACTTTTTTTTATTTATTTTTTGTTTTTTTTGTATTTGTAAAATTTGATCACGAATCATATGGCCCACATTATAAAAAAAAAAAAATATATTGAAATTAGTCCACGATTTGGTATATTTTTCAACGAATCAAGCTAAAATTTAGTATTTGAAATTCTCGTTAAGAACCGTTACTCTGTACAAATTGGCTATGCCCTACCCATTTCCAATATCTGTGATATTTACAATTACAAAGAAATGATTTTCTTAAAAATCAAAACTCTTTAAATCTTTCTCTGTATTTATCTCCTCAATTTAAATGTACCTCCTACAGGAGTCTACTTGAATCATAACAACAACATTGTTCACTTAATGATAGATTCATAACCACTTGCTTTTTTATGACACACTTTATATTGATGGAGACCCGCGTCACGAGACGAAAAACATGAAAGACATGGCCTGACATAATTTGCTCAGTCGTAAAATTATAATTCTTTATTACATGCCAGCGCGAAGAACAATCAACCCGGAAGAGTGAAGTACCATATCAAGAACACTTAATTATGACATTAAGCCGTATACGAATTTCGAAGGCATGTCTCATTACATACATATATAGACAGATGTGTGTCCCACAAAACATTTTGTGAAAAAATTTGATGACATTTGTTTTGAGACAGTGTGGAATAAATTTTATCTAAGTGTCAGAGGAAATGGAAAAATTGTTTTTGTGTTTGATCGGCTAGGTAATGCTCGAAGAATGTTTCGCTTGGTACGCTATAATTCATAGAGAAAAAGCATTATATTTCAGAAATTCAGAAAATATATAAGTCTTATATTAATCAAACTGTAGGCTTACTCTAAGGCTTGAATGTCAAATCTTATTTCACATTTAATATTTATAAGGAAATGCGAGAATGGTATATTCTGGTGCCTCTTTCTAGTAATACAACTCCTTATCGTCAAATCGATATGAAAATTTGTGATTATTGTTTTGTACAGGGCAAAAGCCATTTGTTTGTATGGTAATTGCAAAAAATTTGTATATGGTGAAATGGATTATAACTTAAGTATAAACCAGTAAAGAAAATACAAAATAGTTTGAATAGTTAGTAGTTCTACAAGAAAACGATTATATTGCGAAGGCTATATCTGAGCCGTTTTTTCATTAAGATAATAAATAGAATGCCCCATGGTACAATGAAATCAAGGTAGGGCACTGCTACCAATCGATTTTAATTTTTCATTTCCCTGGCTAACCATGCTAAATTAAACAAGTAAAAAAACTGTAAACTCGGCCAGGCCGAATTTTGAATACCCTCCACAATTTGGAACGAATTTGGCAATTCTCAAAAACAACAAAATTCGATAAAAAGTGGACCTGCACAGACAATTTTCTGTCTTACGCTGTAGTATTCATTACGAACTTCAAACACCAAATATGAAACAATTTCCGTTGAATAATGTCGCTAAAATCATAAAAATACCGAATATCGGGAGGTACCGATTTATGGGGGCTATACAAAGACGTGGACCTGCACAGACAATTTTCTGTCTTAGGCTGTAGTATTCATTGTGAACTTCAAATACTAAATTTAAAACAATTCCGGTGAATAATGTCGCTAAAATCATTAAAATACCGAATATCGGGAGGTACCGATTTATGGGGCCTATACCAAGACGTGGACCTGCAGAAACAATTTTCTGTCTTAGGCTGTAGTATTCATTGTGAACTTCAAATACTAAATTTAAAACAATTCCGGTGAATAATGTCGCTAAAATCATTAAAATAACGAATATCGGGAGGTACCGATTTATGGGGCCTATACCAAGACGTGGACCTGCAGAAACAATTGTCTGTCTTAGGCTGTAGTATTCATTGCGAACTTCAAATACCAAATTTGAAACAATTCCGGTGAATAATGTCGCTAAGATTATCAAAATACTGAATATCGGTAGGTACCCTTATATGGGGGCTATACGAAGACGTGGACCTGCACAGACAATTTTCTGTCTTAGGCTGTAGTACCTATTACGAACTTCAAATAACAAATTTAAAATAATTCCGGAGAATAATGTCGCTAAAATCAACAAAATGTCGAATAGTCCTGCAGACTTAATATACTTTTGAGTAAAATTTTATCAATCCACTTCAATTCATTCGGAAACTAGAGTGATTTCCTCAGACGGACAGACGGACAGGCGGATAGACGGACATCGCAAAATCAACATAGAATTTTATGCTGATCAAAAATGTATGTACTTTTTATGGTCTAAGATGTATATTTCGAGGTGTTACAAACGGAATGTCAAACTTAATATACCCTACATACTATGATGGAGAGTATACAAATTGTTGAGAAAATATTCAAATTCAAATGAATCAATCACTACGTATGTATAGACAAAATTTACATTTTTTGTTGCGAAATAAATCTTTAGAGATATATAGAACATGATTTTGAAAAAAATGAAATTTTTCTCGTTTTTTGTTTATTCAAAATCAATCCAACAGGTTGTTTTGTTCAGTTGACAACTTGCTGCATTTGTTGATAGTAATTCTGACATTACAATCCGTACAGGTAGGTCTCTCTACTTTCAACTTTTTCCAACTTATCCTACATTCTCTTTATTGTACCATGAAATGTCAAATCTTTTTCACAACTTTTGAAAAATTAGGATTAAGATTATTCGAGTCCGTACATTTTAGGTGCTTATACGATTATTAGTTTGATCGAAAGTATGAATCCTGAACTTTACCACCAAAAGCGTATCATTCGTCCTTTATTTTGAAATATTGCTTAAAACCACATTTAAATGGGATCGTAACAATTCGAAATATTCTGAAAAAAAAATTCTTCATAAAATTCCAACATAGGTCTCAGAATACTTCAAAACTCGAAACCTACGTAAACGCCAGATATTTACATCGATTTTGCCAAGAACAAGTTAAAAACTGACCTAAGCTTGTTATAAATATTACAATGTCCCAGATCACAATATTACAATGTATCGATTACGTACTTCACTTTATATGGGATAACTTTTGGAAAATGTTGAAAAATGCATGAGGTACCTGATATAATGGACTGAAGAATTCCACTTCAACAAATTCCTATAAAAATATTGGGATGTGCAAAATTTAAAGAAAATCGAACATTTGTTTCCAATTTTAGAAATTGTTGACCCTTGCGGCGGAAGTACATGAAGGACTTGTCCGTTATATTCCATCTTCACGCCACATCAGATAGAAAATATTGAAATGTGCCGAGTTTAAAAGGAATCGAGTACATACTTCGCGTTTTATGAGCTTCATGGTTATTCAAAATGTTTACCCCTTGTGGGGGAAGTACCAGAAGGAGTACATCGATATATTCCATCTTCACCAGAGATCTTATGCTATCGAAAGTGTAGAGAAGTGTTAAAATTGAGGAGAGACTGATGCTTATTGCGCATTTTATGAGAGATATAATTATTCAAAAGTTTGTCCCTTTGTGGGGAGGAACCAGATGGTGTGGACCGATTTATCATCTTCACAACAGATCTTGTGTTAATAAAAGTTTTGGGATGAGTGAAAGTTATAATAATTCCAAATTTTGTCCCTTTGTGGGGGAGTTACTTGATGGAGTGAGATATGAGGTACAGTTATATGCGGCCGTTATCTAAACCAACCAAAACATTTTCAATAACAAAAGTCCTGCGGATCTAAAACACATCTAAGTAAAATTTTGTCAACCTGCTTCATTTTATGTAGAAGCTAGAGAGATTTTTACAGACAGACATCGCTAAATCGACATAGAATATTATGCTGATCAAGAATACATATGCTTTGTTGGACCATCAAATGCATATTTCAAGGTGTTACAAATGAAATGAAAAACAGAATATACCCTACGCACTGTGGTAGAGGGTAACCCAATAATATTTTCGCAATAAAATGGATATACATTTATGTCTCTCCAAACCTAAATAACGTTCGAATTCCGAGTAGAAATAAAATATGTTTTATTGCGTGGAGGGTATCAAACCTTTAGCCCCGCCGAATTTAACTGCCTTATTGAAACAAAGGGCATACAACATTGGATATGGCCGAAATTTGATCCATTAAAATAGGGTACAATCTAAGTCTCTCTTTGGAGAAAATTCGTTTCAGGACATTTGGTATACGTGTCCGTCCGTCTGTCTGTCGTAGTGTATAATAAATCTCGAAAAAGATATCCAAATTGGGTACAAAGCAATATCATTACTTTCCCCACACAAATTTAAAATTTTGCAAAAAAAAAAAAAATAAATAAATAAATAAATAAATCTCATATTGAGCGATGAGAGAGCAACCTATAGTTCAAATCTATAAATACAAATGATTTGTGTTAGTCATTGATTTTTTCTAGAAAGCGTGGACCGATTTTGTTTCTGCAAACTTGATATGAAAGGTAAAGTCAATATCAAGATTTATTAATTCATGATTAACAACTATTTTAGTACATTAATTTCGAAACACGTATGTACGACTATTTTAAAAATATTTCAAGGCACCATCACCATACCATCGCTCGTTACCGTAATACTGGTGGCGTAGACAAACGTCAAGGAAGTGGACGGAAAAAACAGTAACATCAGCAGAAATGGTTCGAAAAGTAAAGAAGCGACTTGATCGAAACCGCATCGCAGTGGCCGAAAAATGGCACGTGAGCTGAACATATCGCAATATTCCATTCGGCAAATATTGAAACATAAGCTCGGGGTAAAGCCATTGAAATTTCAAAAAATTCAAGAACATACACCGCAACAGAAAGAAAATAGACTCAAAAGAGCTAAAGAAATGTTTCGCTTGGCCGAAAGTGGTGGACCGCCGAATTAGGTTTTCTCCGAAGAGCAAAGAGAAGGGAAACATTCGTTGTCCAGCAGTTTGTAAACACACAAAATCGTGAACGTGTTTACTTGCCAAGGAGGTCAGCTGAAAATGTGCACCTTCGGTTGGCCACCATAACTTAAGCTCCGGCCATGGTGATAGGTGGGCCGCCGATGGTCGCTCTCCGCTCGTATTAATCGACCGTGGCGTCAGAATAAATGCGAATATTGTCGCGAAAATATCCTGAATGGTGTATTAAAGCCTTGGCACGCAAACATTTTGGCCGCAGTGCTTGGACATTCCAACAGGACTCTGCACGCGCCACCTAAGAGTGGTTACAAAATGAGGTTCCTCGCTTCATTTCCAGCGCATAATGGCCTCTAAAATCTCCGGATACCAATCCGTTGGACTATTGTGTCTGGAGTATTTTGGAAAGAATTAAAAAATACCAAAGTGTCGATCACCTCAAGCAAGCGCTTCGCCGGGAATGGGCCAAAAAAACGCAGAACAATATTTAGGAAGCGTTTAACGGTTTCATTGGCCGTTTGAATGCCATAATTCGTGTAAAAGGTGACCATTTCAAACAAATCTAAATTTGTTCTAAAATTTGATGATATTTCCGACATTTTTGCTTTCATTCAATAAAATTAAAAAAAAATGTAAAAATTATGACGTTTGACTTTGTTACAGTTTTTTTTATCACACCCTGCATAGGATTTTAATTTCTACACAATTATTGCAAAAATTCATTGATCCTCCCAATAGCCAATGATTAAAAATGCTAATTTGAAAATAAATCATATATCTGGGTTACTACAATCTGTTTTTTCTTCTTTCCATATTAATGCCATTGAATGAAATGAAAAGTAATAAAGCAAGGCAACAGAACAATTAAGCCATACATATAAAAACTACAACAATACAAATTAAAAAATAATTCAAAGAAAAAAAAAAGGAATACCGAAATGGAACTTACCGATTACTGGCAAGAGTTATTGTCTGAGGCGCTAGCACTGATGTGGAGGAGGAGGAGTAATTGTAATTATGGCTGTGCTGTTGCATACCCAGTGCACTGCTCATAGTCGCATCGATAGGCCTGTTGACGTCATTTGCTTCTACTGCTGCTGCTGCTGCTGTGGTTGTGGCTGCTGACGACGACGACGACGATGATGACGAAGATGATGAAGATTGGGACGATAATGAATTGACATTGGACGATATTAAAATTCCACCATTCAATAGCACCGGGGGAGAAGTCTGCAAAAAGAACAGAATACATATATTTTGAGGCGATGAAGGAAATCGTAGAATGTGTTTTCCGAAATACAATTTACACATGCTTATGTAAATGGGCCAAAATGAAAGAAATTTCCTCACAGAATGTACATAAATTCTTAAACCAATTAAAATACTGGATGGTGTCCAACATTTATTACGCGACTCTCAGTATGGACTCATGCAAATATGTGCCAACATTTATTACGCGACTCTCAGTATGGACTCATGCAAATATGTGTGTGTTTGTGTGTGTGTTCGAATGTAAAAGTGTACAAACAGAAGGTAAAGAATTCCCACCGAAAATTCGGAATTTTCATTTAATTGACACATCTTCGAAGACTCGAGCTGACAAATGATTGGCAATGTCTGTCTGTTTGTCGGTCTGTCCAAATATATGTACGGCCAACGAAATACGAATGTCGGCTAGTCTATCCATCACCTCGACCTACCAACCGGCAACCAAGTTGTTGTGTTATGTTTACACACAAGGGCCCTCCTTTCGATTACTTGATGTTGTGGTGGTTCTGCAACAACCACATCGGTCCCATTAACAGAGGTTAAGACAATATAAACAAACACACACACGCACGCACATCTACATCCGGATGTGAACCATCTCTCGAACGCCGACACGTTGTGCTGGTGGCACTTCACTCTTAATGTATGGACAGCACTGTATAAACAAACAAATCATTAAAAGACCATAAATTGATGGCTGCAATTTAAGAAAATGAAAAATTACGTTAATTTTTCGTATTTTCGTTTGCATTTTCAGCAACGTCCATCTGTGTCGAACTTGAGTAATATTATATTCGTGGTTTAAGTATTTTTTGATTGGCACTTACACTTTTGTGAATGTTTTGTTGTTCATAGGAATGAGATGAATCTAAGAGGATTTTTTTTTTTGATGTATTAAAAAGGTGGACTAAAACGTCTTAGGTGTTCACCTGAAAAAAAACTTGTATGGCAAACGATGCCTATTTATACCCTACAACAGTACGTGTTGGGGGTATTATAAGTTTTATTGGGCCAAAAATTATGTAACACCTCGAAATATTGGTTTCCCACATAGGAAAGTATATATGGATCTTCCTATCTCGCCGAGCTGAGTCGATCTAGCCATATATGTCCGTCCGTGCGTCTGTCCATGTTAATTTGTAATCACTCTACAGGTCGCAATTATGGTCCGATCTTCACGAAATTCAGAATGAAGGTGGAGATAGGGTCAGAATAGAACCCTATTTCTTTTGGAGATGATCGCATAATATTTAGGGGTTGAAATGGACCAAAAACTGAAAAAAATCCTGATTTTGCAGTTGCTCTACAGGTCGCAATAATAGACTAATCGACGCGGAAGTTAGCAAGGGGCTAGAGCTTTGGGCTGGGCAGAAGCCTTCCAATTTTGATGGTCATCGGATAATATTTAGTGGGTGAAAAAGGCTATGACATTTAAATAATTAAATACCATCAAATTTTCCATTAAATCGCGAATAATTTTAATACCGGCGAAATCACAAATAGACGAACAGGTCAATCCTGACCGTTACGTAGATGACGATAGTAAATATTTCGGATATATATAGCGAAGAGGACGTTAGCTAAAATCCTTAAATCTCAAGAATGGCTGGACCGATTTTGACAAATTTGTCAATCCAGAATGCCCTCATGGCATAAAAGGATAAAATCTAAAAAAAACGCATAAAAAGACGCCTATAATGATGTTAGTATAGATTTTTTAGTATTTTGTGACATATTTTTATTTTTTCATATTTTTATCGTATGCGATTTTTTCAATTTGACTTATGATATTAAAGTGTATATTTTGTAATATTTTTTCACCTTACAACAAAGGTTGGGGATATTCTATATATACTGCAATTATCGTCCGATCCTTACGAAAAGGGTAGGGTTAGGCTCAGAATGGCTAGGCCTATTGTTTTCTAAGCTGTCCGCAATATATTTAGGGGTTGAAATTGACCAACAAAAATTGTTCTGATTTTGCAGCCGTTATAACACAAATAGGGTTAGGATACAAAATCTCGCATGAAGTTAGAGTTTAGGACTCTGGGTAGAATGGACCACTACTTTGTGTAAAAAATACCAGCATTGCTTACATGCGATATCCGACGGTAGCCAAATATCGTAGACAAGAAAATCATATAGATGAGTCTAAATTTTGAGATTCAGAGGGTCCTCTTGCTTTTGGAGATGGTTCAAATGAACCAAAAACAGAAAAAAAATCCTGATACACAATTGAAGCCATTCGACATGCCTGGGCAGGGCGATAAGGACAGGGAAGAATTCTAGCATTTTTGCACAACAACTAACAACACGACATAGTTCGAAAATATTGGGCAAATGTCCCTGTTCAAAATGCTAAGGGTAATATCTGCGCAGTGCTCCGTGACATGGTTTAAAAAGCGAAATCTTCCAAAATGGATTAGGACATAAGAGGGCTTCTAACATGTTGTAGTGTTGTAGGGTATCACATGGTCGGCCCCGTACGACTATAGCCTTTGCTTATGCTAGGAACACAATTGGAGCGAACGACGAATTTTTTCGCGGCGTATGTTCGTCGTCAAAAATAAAACACATATGTGTATATGGAAGTGCACACAATCACGGCACCGGCGAAAATTTCGTCGGTCGCCGCGAACTCAATTAGCTTTATTTCTATTTCATACGCCGGCGACCGGCGAACAAAATAGTACAAGGTGGCCATACTTGTACGAATTTTATGTGTTTTAGTAAATAAAGTTACTTTTTACTTTAAAATTTGTTATGGTCACTCTACTATCTGTTACTCGTATAAAAAAACATAATTAATTTGTTTATTTATTTGTGTACTTGCGCCTGAGTGAAGATGGATATCAGTGAATTTATAATAGAGAAGATGGACATAAGTGAAATTATAATAGAGAACGTAAAGAATTATGTGTTCTTGTATAATTCATTGTAGTCAACAAATGAGCAAAAAGTAAACAACTTCATCAGCTGTTTTATAATTTCGTCGGTATTGTGTTCCATACGACGAATTTTCGCGGCTCATTTTGTCGCCGCGTAGGGCGAAATTCGTCGTTCGCTCCAATTGTGTTCCTAGCATTACTTGTTTAACCATACTAGCAAGAATTACCAAGATTTTTGTGAGGAATTATCTTTAATTCGAACAAAATCAATTCTTGAAGAAAAAAACTACTTTTTAACATGAAGGCTTTGAATAAAAAATCATGAAATATCAGCCTTCTTCCAGGAAGTCTGCACAAAATGTTTTGAATAATACTTCGAAAATCCTACAATATCTAAGTCTATGACTTTTGTACAATATGATATTAAAAAAATCCACGGTTGTTGAACAAGAAGTCCTTAAAACCATTTTTCGAATTAATAATAATAATAATATATCTATATATATAAATGTAAGTTGTGTTAGTTACTACGCTTATAACTTAAGAACCGCTGGATTAATTTTAACGATTCACACAAATTCGGAGTTGTCTACTCTCCGAAAAGGATAATATCCAAAAAAATCGCGTAAAAATGTGATATATTAACATTTTCATTTTGACTTTTCAAATGTACAATAGTAATGTTTTATTTTGCATGATTTTTTTTCCATTTTGACTTACTTTTTTCTAATGTACATTTGTAGTGTTTTTTTATATTTTATTTTTGAATTCGAATATTTATACCAATTTATTTAATTGACTTGATTTCTTTAGAACTGAAATTGATGGCGGGTTACATGGAAGTGTAGTAGCGAATTATGTGGTGGCGAAACGGAATAGATGATACCGAAATAATTTAACGCGGTCACACCAAAGTTAAAAGATAATTACTTTTTCTAAATCGCTGAAAAATCATGAAAAAGAGATCTCATTGCAAAAATCAAAAAACCATTTTCAATGGAATCGAATTTTAAAGTAATAGTACATTCTATTGACAAACTTTGTAAGGAAGGATCTTAAAACATTTGCTGTAAAAAATCAGCGAAAAAGTTGTAGACTTTTTCAATTTGTTATTCTTTTTTTTGTCAATTTTTTTTTTGTGAACAAAATAAAGAATTATTTTTCACTAAAAAAATTAAATAAGTGCGAAATAGGATGTTAACTGACATCTACCTTTCTACTCCAGGGCCTACATCGTGGGTTAGCTGGAAGATGCGAACACGTTTAAACAAACAAAAAATGACCGAAAAAGCTTAATGGGGCTCATTTCAAAGCGTGACAATGATCCGTCCAATGAGAGCTCAAAATGCAAAATTCTTTGGGAGAATAATAAGTAATATACCAATATTGAAATAAAAGGTGCAAAATAGTAGAGCGAATGGGACTTTTAGTAAGAAAAGGTTTTATATCCTTCCAGAAATTCTTCCCAAACATTCAAAATACCTAAAATCACTTTTGCAGGTCTTTATATCGATCATAACTCATGGATAAGGGAACAACCCGATTTCATATTTATATAACCATCTATGATTTAAGTTATTTTTGGGGTCTTGGCCGGCAACTTTTTTCATTTTTTGGCCCTTATTTGACATTTTTGTTTCTAAGGGGGTAGATAATCTCTTCGCATAAAATTTGAAATTCAGAGTAGGGCCCACATTGGTATTGACCACATTCATCAATTGATTTGGCTAAAAAAATTTATTTATGCCACCTTGGGGTAGGGAACCATCATACAGATAATTGCCACATAGGAATTTATTTAAGTAAAGTCCCCACATTGGAGTATCCCCAAGTCCACTTTCACATCTAATGTGTGGTCAGAAAAGAAAATTTTGTATTCTATTGAATTTTTAACCCCTAAGAGAATATTGGTTGGGAACGTAGATTTGGGATGTGCATCCATATGAAATAAATTGTGGAAACATGAACAAATTACAAATATAAGAAAGTAGCACGGGACCGAATATTTGTTTAATCATCATTGAATTATCCTATGATGAAAATATGGACTTTATGCCATGTTTACGTTAGAAC